AGTAGAGCTATTATAAAATATGTTCCGTGATTTTAAAAAGTACAGCCCATGGCCATTTTTTGCCCTGACTACTCTTTGTAGATAATCAATACCTGTGAATTTTTATTTTTTTTTTGGCCTCAGTTTGTTTTCCAGCATGTGTGTACTTGCTGGATAGGAGTAATTTCTCTACATTGCACAACTGTCTGCTCATCCCCAACCCTTCCATCTATCTATCTATCTATCTATCTATCTATCTGTCTCTCTGTCTCTCTGTCTGTCTGTCTGTCTTTTTAATATTTACCTAGGAACAGATTCTCAATAGATTTTATAACATGAGGCAGTTATGTGTGTGTGAGGTTAAATGGGGAAAATGGCCTTTTTAAATTTTATTTTCTATTGAATCAGATGAATAATAGAAGCTGGCATTTCCACAAGAGAACACTGGATTAAATCCGAAGTAAATTGTCAGTAGAGAAGGAACTGTGTGTTACATTTTGTACGTTTGAGCTGATGAATTATTATATTTGTTGTTTTGGCATACGAGTACACATTTTGACCTGAAAGTGAGTGAGTGGGTGGCTTGAAACAGGCCTTTGGTTCTCACTGTAACATATAGTGTTAATTGTTAGTTTTTCTTGATGCATATTTGAAAACTTAGTCACATGACTTGTGATTGTAGAATATGGCTGTAAATAAGGCTTCTTTCCACTTGAGTGTGTCTGTCTTAAGCCTTCATATGTCTTTCAGAAACTTTACACCGTTAGTAACATCTGAAGTCTAGCACAATGGTCTGTAGACGCTGTTCTAACACATTTAGTTTGACATTAGTTGTCGTTTAATTAGCCAGATCTCAAGCACCAGAACTATGTTGAGAATGCGTTTATGTTTTCTCCTTTCAGAAGTGTCTGATTAACTGTGAACTGTGCAACAACTAGGGCTGGGTATCGTTCAAAAATGTTTGATACCGATACCTTGACTTCAATACCGGTTCCTGAACGATACTTTTTTCTATACCAATTTTATGAAATCTGTTTTGTTTTTCAGCTTGTTGATGATTTTACATACTCAAAGACTCATGTTCTGAGCCACTGCACAAAGGAACAAAAAAAAAAAGCACAAAGGAACAAAATGTAACCATCACAATAAATTATTAGTGCATATAGTTTTAATAAAGTTCAAATAGTTTTCAGTTTCCACATCTTTTAGGGTGCGTTTACACTAGTGCATTTTCGTTTTAAAACGAATTGCTCAGAAAGAATCATAATTTCTATTCATTTTCCACTGATTAGCTGCTTCCAGCGCTGTCTGCCTGTGTTTTCTCTTCCGCGATCGCTGTTCTGACTCAGAGGAAGCTCATTCGCTGCTCATATGTCAATCATATTATGTGTTCATAACCTGCCCTGTCTCCTATGACGAACGTCCATCACACTTTCGCGTTCACTTCTGTACATAAGAAACCCAGAAAAACATTCCTACAGATGAAACATGAACCTAATAAACACAATTATGACGGTATATGATTTGTATGTGATTTTCATGAGATTCTGCCTATTTTCATAACAATACAGGGTGTGTTTACATGAGAAAAGCTAAGCAGGTGTAGCGATTAGCCTGATATAAGCTATAAATAACATATTTCAGCAACATTATATGGCCAAAACACACATTAGATCGCAATCAGAAGTTATAACAAACACTCGATGGTGGTTTTTGGTCGTGTAGTGTGGACGGAGATCTTTTCTGAAATGCAGGGGAAACGCAGTATGGACGAGGAACACTTTCATTTTAAAAAGCTGTTTTAAAGCGAAAACGCACTAGTGTAACCATAGCCTTACATCAGTGGGGGTCGGATGCTTACACACTACAGCCTCACTTTTGAGCCACATCTCTGGGCATCAGTGTAACACACGTCGAACACACCCAGTGTTTTTCCTTGATTAATCCGTTAGGTATTGAAATATGGTACTGAACAACAAGACATTTTTCGATACTCGATGGTATCGAGACAATTCGGTCGGTGCCTAAAAAGCATCAAAGTTGATACCCAGCCCTAGCAAGACAGTAGGTGGGATTTAAGTATAGGTGTATGACTCATAAGAACAGTAAAGCATGTTTTGTTGTGTCAGTATATAGTGGTTTGATGTTTCATAATGTAATGTTTATCAGGCTAAATTTGTGCCACTAAAGTAAAGATGTGGTAACATTAGCGGATTGTCAGTATAGTGAAGCTACAGTATGCATTGCATTACTCAGAGTCACTTCCAAACCAAGCAGCTTTATATTGGTAATCACTGCAATTTTGCGTGTTAAAAGTTCACAAGACTTGAATCCAATGTAACCCTGTGGGGAAATATCCTCACACTGTGTCCCTCACACAAAATTCCTGATCACACAGATTCCTATTGATATGACTGCATTTTGCCCATGAAATTTTGCCATACAAAGATAAATGTGACCGGGCCTTTGATTGCAAAATCACTGAAGTGACGGATTTTCAGAACTCTGTTTTGAATTCATTCAGCAGTGGAGGTTAAGAGCCTCCAGACATAATACGTGTTTTTTTGAACATCACCACAAACTTGTAGCAGACAGTGAAGTGAAGGTTAGGGGTGTAAAAGTTTAGCATGATGTAGCGCTCCATAAAAGAGGTCTTTGTCAGCACGGGAAAAATCCTGACTCTTGCACCTTTAGTTTTCCTCTTCCATGTCCTTGTTTGTTATTGTTAGGTTTTTACAATTCATTTTTGAATGTGATACTTAAATAACATTAGAAAACTGAAGTTTTCAGTCATGTCTATAGAGACCCCAGACTAGATCATGACAGTAAATCTCTCATAATGTAAAGACCACATTGTAATGAGTGCTCTGGGTGTTGTTGCGGATCCAGAGTAAAGGAGAAAAGCAGGACACTCTCGTGCCATCTGAGACCCCCTGTCTAAGTTCAGACGGCCCAGTTGTCTGCACCATCTACCATGATGAGCGCCCTGAGTATTCTGGGGTTTTACAGAGTGAGAAACTGAGTAGATTTAATGTGTGTTATGTCTTCTCCAGACCATCTTGTGCCATCACTCATGTTTCTCTTCAGTAGCTTAACTCCAGTTGAAAGAATAAGCATATATATAGTACAGTTTAAAAGTTTGGGGTCTTTTTCTTTGAAAGAAATTAATACTTAAAAGGGACATTAACACACACAGTTTCTGCCAATCTCATGTTAATCTTGAGTACCTATAGAGTAGTATTGCATCCTTCATATCTCCGAAGAGTCTTTAGTTTTATCAGATTTCTAAAAGACAGATAAAGCTTTACGCTTCTCTCTGAAAACAGTCGAGCTCCTGGAGGTGTGTCGTGGAGCTAAAGAGTCTCGAGAACACGCAGCTTTTATGTAGCTATCGTCTGCAAGCTGTGACATTGACAAAAATAAAATAGGAACGAAAACTTTATTGACTTAAATTTTATTTAATTTGTTTATAAAAAATTTGGCACCAAAATGCCGGGAACAAACAAACACACTTGCACAACTCTGTTGCTGCCCCGGAGAAACAAACCACATCCACTGCTCCCTCAACGCTGGGTTCTTTGGGAAGCTGAACAAGGTTATCTTTCCCTCACAACCAAAAATCATGTGACACTGAAGACTGGAGTAATGGCTGCTAAAAAATTCAGCTTTGCCATCACAGGAATAAATTACATTTTAACTTTAACATACGTTAAAATAGAATACATTTATTTAAAATTGTAGTAATATTTCACAATATTACTGTTTTACTGTATTTTTTTATTAAATACATGCAGGTTTGATGAGCACTGTCACTTTTGAATGATGGTGTATACCGGTGTTTAATACATGGACAAATCCCCAAATGCATTTCGAATAAAAGTTATAACAGGATGTGAACTTAATGCACGCGTAAAACAGAAAGCGACAGAAGAGCGTCCGGGTTTATATTTCCTGTCTGTATTGAGTTCCGATGACCTTTAACAGAAGGATTTCAGTAACACGTCTGTCTTAAGTCAGTCTTTAAGCAGGCTTCAACAGATCTGAGAAAAGCTTTTGTTTTTCGCCCTTTATGCCTGTGTCACATCCACACCTTTTGTGGGCAATTTCTGTTGACATAAAGAGGTTGGTCAACCTGCTCTGCCAGAGTTCGAACACTTTCCATCCGTTTTGTGATCCATCAAGTGCATGTCTTAGTTTTGTTTGCATCATAAGCTAAAGGGTGATCTATTTTGAACTACACCAGGCTGTCACTGTTTGTAATGGCTGGGGTTCTTTCTCTGACACGATGAAGACTCAACATGATAGATGCACTAAAAATGATTCTGTAGAAATACAGGAAGTGGATATGGAAAAGTTGATGAATAAGAAAAGGAGTTTCCACCAAAAGTATTTTTTCAAAAACCATCAAAGATACAAAGTTAAATGTACTTTATATTTTCTTTCATTACCATTTATTTTCATTTGGCACAGTTTCCATCCTGCAGCCAGACGGCAAGTGTACTTTAGGGCTGTTTTGTTAAGGGTTGTATATCAGGATGTCTTGTGCCTGTGAACATTTCCAAAGACCACAAGCTGTATGCCGTAATTTGAGTATATGTTCCCCTGGTTTCAGTGCAAGTTTTTTGGCTTGGCTGTATGTGTGTGGGTGGTTGTGAGAGGCAGTGCTTGCCATGTGTTTGTGTCTGTGCGGTAACTCTTATTGTAATGTCAGTCTTCACTACTCAGACTGCTTAGATAGAGAAGTCTCACATGCTCCAACAAGCAGATTTGGGAACAGTGTGAGGAAATGGACAAATAAAGGAGTTTATTCTCCCTGAGAGAGAGAAAAAAGGAGAGAGAGGGAGGTTTTACAGAAGGGAAAGGGGAGGAGTTTTCCTCGGCTGAGTTACCACAGTGACAGACAATCTCAGTGTGTGTATGAGTATCTCACAGGGTGTTTTGGTTTTTCCTCTCTCATGCTGTCAGCATTACCATGGAGGGTCTTCGGAGACTGGCTGTTTTCTGATTAGCGTGATCCTGTAGGACTGAAGACTGGATCAGTGGAGAGCTGCTGTACTTGTAATAGTGCAGATCTACTAAGGGTAAGTGACTCTCAGATTGAACATTTAGTTTCTCTGTCTCTTTCCACCTGTCTCTGGAATTCTGCCTGTCCACTCACTCAGCCTGCAGTCACAGCTCTCCATGCCCGAGCAAGTCATCCTGACAGTTTGTTTCCCCCACTTTTTCTTCTGCGTGCCTTTACTGTGTCGTCCCCTCCCTTTATCTCTGAACTAATATTCCCCCCGCTCTCTGAATTTGAAAGTTGAAACTCTGAATAACTTGGACTTTTTAAAAAAAGAAATATGCAAAAGTGTATTGTATGTAACTGGTCACAATTCTGCATCCCCCCAGTTCTGTCAACTTCCCATTTAAACTCACAGCAGATAAATTACTCAAAATACTATACTCCTAGATCAGTGGTTCTTAAAGGGTTAGTTCACCCAAAAATGAAAATTGGCTTGTGTTTTACTCACCCTCGAAGCGTCCTAGGTGTATATAACTTTCTTCTTTCAGACGAATCCAGTCGGAGTTATATTAAAGGGTTAGTTCACCCAAAAAACGCAGCTGTCCACACACATACACCTGAAGGTGTTCCGGCGGAAGGCGTATGACTTATGCGCAGCGCGCGTGCCTCTGAGATATGCTCGTCTCGCGAGTTTGTTTATAGGAGCAAAGGAAGCAAAGTTTCCTTACTTTAGCAAAGGAAAACCAGTCTCCTCTTGTCTTATATCGAAATCCTCCAACATTTTTCTTTGCATATCTTCGGTTTGTACTTTTAATTCATGACCAGCGTTTTGTTTTGTTGTTTCTCCGCGTCCGTCACTAATCACGCAATGCCAACGTCCTACGTCATCCGCCAGAACGGCTTCCGCGTATGACAGATGGCGGAAGTGATAGAAAAGTGTTTATTACGTTTTAAATATGTATATTTTTCTTACAAAAACACATGGATCCACTACAAGAGGGCTTTATTCACCCCCCGGAGCCGTGTGAGGCACGTTTTATTATTGATGCGCACACTTTATTTGACGACTTGTGGACTGTTCAACTGCAACACCCGCTGACTGCAATGATAGAGCTTGGAATAGCCAAGACAATTTTTAATATAACTCCGACTGGATTTGTCTGAAAGAAGAAAGTCATATACACCTAGGATGCTTCGAGGAGAAGCCACAAGCCAATTTTCATTTTTGGGTGAACTAACCATTTAAAACCCTTTTGACTCCAAGGCCCCCCATTGACCACAACAATATTCGAAGACCCCATGATGTTTCCAGTTGGTCTTGATTTACGGAATAATGTTTTTTTTTTTTTAAGTTTTTCTCACAATTTCTATTCAATAAAATATTTTAGAATTTGGCATAACTAAAAATGAATATCCATTATAAAATTGAGTCATGGAGTTTTAGGATTTTATTAATTTATATGACTTTTTCAGGTCTAAAATCTCACTTTTAAAATGAGGTTACCTTTTTTTAGTTGTTTTAGCTTAATTTAATGCTTGATTTGTATTATTTTAGATCATTTTAAGTAGGGATGTAACGATTCACTCAACTCACGATTCGATTCGATTCACGGTTTTGATTTCACGATTAAATGAATCGCGATTTGTTTAGCATCTCAACCGATTTGAATAGTCACATATTTAAATCGATTTTCAACCGGCTCGCAGTTAATCGTTACATCCCTAATTTTAAGTCATCTTGGGGCCCCCTTGGAAGTTTGCTGAAGTCCCTTAGTGGACCCCGGCCCCCTGGTTGAGAACCACCGATATAATGTTGGACCATCCTTATACTATAAAAGTGTTTGTTCTGTACTAATATAAACTTATTTTTGACTTATTATGTATGTGTCCATACAGAGAGTGATAGATGGTGTGAGTGTTGTGCTGGAATGTGTGTGTGTGTGTGTATGTGTGTGGACAGATGCCTGCACGGTTCAGTATTTTTGTTTTAAATAGCCTTGTTAAGACTTTGTGTGCCGTGACTGCGATGAGTTCACACACCATTAACCTCACACACATAAAGAAGACCTTTCTTACATCAGCTAGGTCAATGAGGAGTCCAGATGAATGGCTGCTGAACTTTTAGACGTGGCAGAATGAATGTAACTTTGTTGATTTAATAGTGCTGCAGACCCTGTTTGACACCTCATTCTAACCGGCTTGTAATATACACTGGTCTTGCACTCTTAACAAAGCATAAGAGGACTGAACTGAACAAATTCTTCCGTTTTGGATTTTCATCTGTCTGCTATGTAGCACAGCTGATGCCAGAGTAGGGTGTCATAGTAAATACTAGGGCTGTCAAAATGGCTGAAAAACTAAATTAGAATTTTTTTACTTAAATATTATCAATATTCGAATTATATTAGAATTTAAAAGGCATAATTTCAGTTAGGGGGAAAAAAAAGCTTTTGGCTTCTCTCCTGAGGCTACAAGAGGGCGCATCGAGCAAAATATTATGCACGTTTCTTCAAAGCATAATAAAATAACACGACTATCTTAAAAAAAAAGTGCATAATGTTTAAAATTATGTTTATAAACCATATATAGTTAATAAAGTTGCTTGTTCATGCATGTATGTATAGTTTAACACAAAGGACCGAAAACCAATCACAAAAAGTACTTTCTTCATTTAAAAACTTGAGATGCAGTGGGATGGGGAAAACCGCCAAAAAGTCTCGAGACATGTTTTTTAAAAGTTGAACTTGCATTAATTTTACATAGCTTTCTAAACATGCTGCTCTCTCGTGCTCTCTAGATGTCCCTCTAAAAAATGCGATGAATATGCTTTCTGTGTGAACGGCTTGGTTTCGGTTTTGACGTAAACAACATCTTCCCCGCGTTGATTGTTCTCTTTTTCTGCAATATTTTGCATGAACAACGTAGCAGCGCTGCATCTAGTGGGTTCAACTGGATAGGCTAACAAAAACATTACATTGTCGTCGCATTTCGTGCGCCACTGATAAAAGGCTGCCTGACGCACACCTAAAATTCGAATGCAATGTTTTTGCATTCAAATGTGGATTTTTATTTTAAATTCGACGAATATTCGAAATTCGATTTTTTTTACAGCCCTAGTAAATACATACCCCCCTGACTGTCTTTTATTTCCCATTCGTATTCGTATGTGTTTTAATGCTGATTTATTTGTTAAGATGATGCATTGCCCCAGATATGAAGATCAAATCATTAAGAGGGTCAATTGGTGAAGGTTTACTGCTCTGAATTATGTTGAGACCCCCGTCTGAACCCCGTTCTAGTGTGTGTGCAGTGCGGTGCCGTCACAGCTCTATACACTACAGCTGAAACTGAAGCTATAATGTCTGACCCAGAGGGCACTGAAATTGTGGGAAACATCCCCTCTATGTCTCTCTGTCCAGCAGACTTCTTTTCATCACTCCAAAATGAGAAATTAATCTTCTGTGCAATACTGAAAATATTTTGGAAAGTGATGTATACGTATGTCTTAGTGAGAGGAATGTTTTATGATATGAACTTTGTTGCAGGGTGATTGTGGAGGCGCATGAAAGTATTTATGTTGTTTAAAGGCATTTATTGGACTGCCAGCACCAATTGAAGTAATCACAGAATGGCCTCAAAGTAGATGTGTACGACCCCTTGATATTTTTATCAGTGTCATGTGGGCAAAATAAGCACTGCCTGGTAGAGCCGTCGCTAAAATTCACAAGGGCAGGACAAAGTGCTTATAGGTGGGCCCCCTCTCTACCATAGAGGACCCACCTCACAGGGCCTCGCACAACTGCTGCCTGGTATTAGGCGTGATTATGAATCAGTTTTTTTGCTTGAACAGAAATGAACAGAGAGGTAGAAAAAATAGGGACAGACACAGGCACAGGATATTGCAGTTCGTCTGTACAGGACAATAGTGAATACATTGCTCTTAAACTTCAATTTCCTCTGCTGAAGCTTCAATTATCTGCCTTCTCCCATCCCAATACTCATGTGCTTATGCATTGCTTAGACGCAGATATGAGAGAGACTGAAAAAATTGTCAGTTAGCGCTAGGTTAACAGAGGTTTTCTGTGATGCTTAAACCTGCTGGATCTGGATTGTCTGATTTTCATAACCTCAGGTTAAACTCTTCACTTCTTTATTCAAATCCAAAGCATATCCTCTCTCACAAACATTCTTTCTTTCTCTTGGAATATCCTGTGTTTCATGTTTAAATTACGCAATCAGTCTGGTGATTTCCCCAGTGATGGTATCTAGGTCTCACTCGGTTTGCATAACATGTTGGCTGTAGGTGAATCCTTTGGCTCAATGAGGAAGATCAAGTGGATTCACAGAACTGCAGGCGGGTCCAGAACAGAGTGAGCATTTGCACTCCACTCAAGAAGTTTAGTTTAATAATGTTGCCTGCCACACGGAACATCCATTCAATTCTGAGGAAGTTCCTTGAACAGTATTACAAGAGGTTTCACGCGTAGTTGTTGCCCTTTTGAAATTAATTCAGAAGGGTGAAGCTTGGATGAAAAAGTGATCTTAAGTCATCTTTACACATTTATTTATTTGTCTTTTGCGGGATGGCAGTTAGATAGGAAGAATATTTTGGACTCTTCTCCTGGTAGACAGACTATAATATTTTGCAGAAAACCTCAACTCTGTTTACAGCCACATGTTGTTGCAGTTTCTCCACGTTGTTTATGAATGGGATATCTGATAAGAACTAGCAGTGTTAAAACAAAAACAGATGCTCTTATAACTGAGATCTGGTTTAAATCTCTCCTGCATCACATTGAAGTCCTGTTGTTTCCTGAGGTCTCATCTTCATATAGTGAACCACCCAAGGATCTGTCTGTCTCCATTTTTCTGCCGAAATATTATTATGTTTCCGATAACAAAATAAAGATATAATAAAGAAACCGAACGATTAAAGAGGGTAGAGAGAACCGGTCAAGAGAATAACGCTGAATTTTGGGACTAAATCCACATATATTTAAAGCTCAGTTGGGCTTGGGTGGACCTGCTCAATCCCGCTCTGATGTAACACTGCTCTCAGCACATGTTACATAGTCT